TCTCTCTCTCTCTCTCTCTCTCTCTCTCTCTCTTTCTCTCTGAAATCAACAAAAACATTTAAAAAATAGTAAGTGGAACAACAAATCAATGTTTCGTCTTCCTTCTTCACTCACTAGAAAAATCAATATTTTTTAAATGTGCTCTGCAGAAAAGGTGCTTGGCTAGTCTTTGTGTTAAGTTTAGAGATGATGTGAATTAATAGTGACACAATATTCTATTTATATACTTTTTAACTCCAACAAATCATGCATAGTCATTCATATGATAAGGTCTGGGGCTTGTTTAGAGAAAGATTCCACTTTAAGCTTCCTATCGGCAATGCACGACCTATAGCAGTTTTTTCTTTTGATAATCTGGGTTATTTTTATTTTTAATATATTTTTAGCTAGGCAGTGTGGGTCAGTGGCTGAGCACCAAGCCATAAACAGGAGGTCACCAATTTGATTCTGGTCAGGTTTCCGGCTGGATCCCCAGTAGGGGGGCATGTAGGAGCAGGCGATCAATGATTCCCTCTCATCATTGATGTCTCCTCTCTCCTCCCTTATTCTCTGAAATCAATAAAAACACATATAGAGATGTATCCACATATCTATGTATTTTTTAAAATATATTTTATTGATTTTATATAGAGAGGAAGGGAGAGAGATAGAGTTAGAAACATCAATGAGAGTGAGTCATCGATTAGCTGCCTCTTGCACACCCCCTACTGGGGATATGCCCACAACCAAGGTACATGCCCTTGACCGGAATCGAACCCGGGTCCTTCAGTCCCCACGCCGACACTCTATCCATTGAGCCAAACCAGTCTCGGCCTATGTATTTTTAAAAATATATATTTTATTGATCTTTTACAGAGAGGAAGGGAGATAGTTACAAACATCGATGAGAAAGAAACATTGATCAGCTGCCTCCTGCATGTCCACTATTGGGGATGTGCCCGCAACCAAGGACCAAGGTACATGGCCCTGACCGGAATTGAACCTGGGACCCTTCAGTCTGCAGGCTGAGGCTCTATCCACTGAGCCAAACCAGTCTTGGCTGGATTAGTTTTTTATCTCGCTATGTTTTCATAGCTACCTATGGCCCCACCAGGCATTTCCTGGAGGGGCTTCTGTATCTTTGAGACCTAGTAACTCCAGGCTTTGTCTTCTCAGCCAAAGCTAACTCTGCCAAAGGGTATGATGCGTGGGCTGTTAAGCTTTTGGGGGGAAGGTTCTTTCAAGAGGGGCTAGCTCTTTGCCATTTTTATTTTTATTATTTTTATTTATTATTTTTATTTTTAATATATTTTTATTGATTTTTCACAGAGAGGAAGGGAGAGGGATAGAGAGCTAGAAACGTCAATGAGAGAGAATCATCGACCAGCTGCCTCTTGCACACCCCCTACTGGGGATGTGCCCGTAACCAAGGTACATGCCCTTGACCGGGATCGAACCCGGGACCTTTCAGTCCACAGACCGATGCTCTACCACTGAGCCAAACCGGTGCCGGCTCTTTGCCATTTTTAACCTCTTCTTACCTGTTTGCTGGCTCAGATACCTGGCACATGTTGGACCCCCAAGAAATGTTTGTGGTATAAACTTACCATTCATTCTTTCACTGCTCTCCTATTATATAAACTCAGGACACATTAGAATGGGAATGCTCTCAGTTGTCTTCTTTGACGATTGGTCTTAATCATCTTTGGAGCTCAATCTGCTAGCACATTCTAGGTTTTTAGTTAGTGTGTGGGCCGTTGTTCACTCATTCCCTCTGTTCTTCCTTCAACCCCCAGGCTCTGGACTTTGAAATCTTAGCTGTCCTTGACGTACCAGCTCAAAAATGCCACACCTTCCTTGGTTATGCTAGCCAAAAAACCAACAGTTGATATTTTTTGCAAAGTGCTTTTACACATACTAATCTTCAACCATTCAAATTAGGTATTAATGTTCCCATTTCACAGTTCAGGAAACAGATGTAATTTCCCCAAGGCCAAACAGTAGCAAATGACAGAACCAGAAATCAAACAAATGACCTTAAAGACATGTCCAAAGCCGCCAGGCTCTACAGAAGTCTCTTTCTCTCTGCCCTACTCTCCTTTCAGTACAGGATCTGCCACAGTCCATACTCTAGTGGGCCAAGAGCTTCCTAATAAGCTTCTTTGTAATTTCTAGGCCTAAACAGTGTCTAGACATTGGATGGTGACCCATATGCATGTGCTAATTGACTTGCGGTCCTCGTTCCTATCTGTGTCTAACATCCATGCACACCAGACACACAGAATCAAGCACTCATTCCCCAATTAGAAGTCTGCTCTCCCACTATGGGTGCATGTAACACAGGCCTTATAGTTCATTTTTCACGATCTGTGTGCTTGTCCCTTTAAAACTGGCAGCACCCCAAGGACAGATCTTTCATGTGTTCCATCGCTTTACACCAATTCTTGGCTTAGCAATGAGTTGCTAATAAATGTGAGTTAGTTGTTACCCTCCTCATTATCCGATGGGCTGCGGGAACTTCCCGGCACTCCTCCCCAAGTACAGACACTGGGACTCCGGCCTGGCCGGCGGGAACACAGCCCCAGCCAGGCCCCCCCCCCCCCCCCCCAACTGGGAGCAGAGTTTAGGGTTTCAGCCTCTCCCGGCGCGGCCTCCCGTAGGGCTGTCGTCTGTCCCCTCGTCTCCCCTTGGCCTCTGTGTCTCTGCCTTTGTCTGTTTCATTGTCTTTGTTCCTCCGCCTCTAGACCTGCTTCTCCCCAGGACCCAGGCCTCTGCTTCAGCTCCTCGGCCTCCGCTGCAATGACCTCACATCTCGGTTCCTACATCTCGGGCTCGGGCGGCAGCCGCTGCCTCCCGGCCGCTCTCAGCCCCAGCGCCTCCGCCTCCGCCTTGAGGTGAGTCTCCGGACCCGGTCTCCTCCGCCGCGGGTCCCGTCCCTCTGCCCGCCTCCCCCGGAGGCGTCCGGCCCCGGTCTCCCAGCCCCTCCCCCTCCCCTTCCAACCTCCACCCCCGCGCCCCCCCCCCCCCCCCCCCCCGCCCGGGCCCGGGCTCCGCAGACCGGCCCGCTTTGTTCCCTGAGTCCCGGACCCGCCGGCTTTGTTCCCGGCGCCTCGGAGCCCCGCCCCCGCCCTCGGAGGCCCCGCCGCCTTTGTCTGCGGGCCCCCCGCCCTCCGCCGGCGGTGGGCGCCTTTGTCTCCGGCCCGGCCCCGCGACCACTGGGGAGTCCCGGCTCCTCACCGGGAGCCACACGTTAACACCCCGAGTCCGGCCGCCCTCGGCGGAGAGCCGCCGCCCGCCCCGCCGCCGCCGCCGAGCTCGGGCCGACCGCGCGGCCGCCCAGGCGCGGCTCCTCCGGGTCCTAGAGCAGCTCCGCGCGGCCCGCTCTTCCGCTTCCCGTCCCCACCCCCGGCGGCCGCCCCGGGACCCGGGCCCAGTCCCCTCCCGGCAGACGCGGAGCCCGCACCCAGAGCCCGGGGCTCCTCCGGAGGCTGCGGGGAGCGAGGGCGGCGGCGCCGGGGCGCCCGGAGGAGCGCGGCCGGAGCGGAAGGCGCAGCAGGTGCAGGCGCGGCGGGCGGGGGGCCGGGCGGCACCGGGAGCCGCGCCCGCGCCTCGGACCCGATGCTGCCCGGAGCCCCGCCAGCCGGCAGAGGGCCGCGGCCCGGCGGGCCGCACGTGGCGGGGTGACCGTGTGCCGTCCCCTCCCGGGCGGCGATGGAGCGCGCAGGGGGCCCCTGGGGCCCGGAGCAGAGGGAGCCGCCGCGAGGCGCGCGGACAGGTGAGGCTGCGGCGAGGCGCCGCCATGAACAGGTAACGGCTGGGCTGAGGATGCGATGCTGGCTCTGCTCGGCCAAGACCAGAGAAATCGGCGATGAACTGAGTTTCGGGGGTGGTGGCGGGGGAAGGGGGGGCAGCAGGAGCAAAACCAGAGCGGGGAGTGGGTGTAGCTGCACTTCCTGGGCTCCAGGCCGGCAGGGACTCATCCCCACTGTCCTCCCGGCGCCGCCGCCTGTGCCTACTCCGGGGCTCCAGGCGGCTGCAACCACCTCCCCGCAGCCCAAGACCAGGTCTTGGGTCGATGCGGGCGCAGAGACCCGCGGGTGATGCTCTCTGCGCCCGCATCGACTCAAGACCTGGTCTCCCTCCTCTGACCTCCCCCAGCTCCCTTCTGCCTACAGTTAGGAGTCTCAGCCTAGTGTTCAGTTCAGCGCCTGGTCCCACATCCCTTTCCAGCTTTATCCTGTCTTCTCCATGGTTTCTTTTTATTTTTGCTTTGTCTTATTTCTCCTAAGCATCTTGAGGGATGTGTGTGTGTCTGGGGCACCTCAGGTAAACACAGATGACTGAGGTAATAAATTACAGAATGGGCTGATATCAAAAAGATATCACTGAAATAGCAAATACCAGGTTTCCTAAATAGGGACAATGTAATGTAGTAACAGGCTTGGGGGTCAGACAGACCTGAGTTAGAAACTGGCTTTGCTACTTTCTAATCTTGATAACCTTGAGCAGGTGACTTAAATTCTGAGTCTGAAAATGGGCATGGTAATAGTATTACTTCACAGGATCGTTTGCAAGTGCTCAGAAATGCTTAGTTCGGTGATTGGCACTTATTAAAGGCGTGGTTAAAAGGAAAATACTATTATTAATGAGCGGCACAGACAATAGTAAGTTCTTTAGAACAGTGATCAGCAAACTCATTAGTCAACAGAGCCAAATATCAACAGTACAATTGAAATTTCTTTTGAGAGCCAAATTTTTCAACTTAAACTATATAGGTGGGTACATTGTTAGTAACTTAATCAGGGTACTCCTAAGCTGGCCTTTGCTAAAACTCAAGGGGCCAAAGAGCTGCATGTGGCTCATCAAGAGCCGCAGTTTGCTGACCACTGCTTTAGAAGTTCTAAGGGGAGAAAGAGATCCTTGTGACGACAGGTTGTCAAGGAAGCCTTTCTGGGCCGAGCAAAGGGGCAGGCCTACAAATCGCTTTTCTTTCCCCAGGTCTAGGGGGTGAGACTGTGGAGATGGCTCAGGCGGATGAGTTCGAACAGACCCCACAGGAGGATGACTTGGGGTTCAAGGAAGAGGAAGATTTGGCACCAGGTCATGAAGTAGGAAATGCCTCTCTCAAACCTGAAGGCATCCAGATCTGGGATGACTTCTGGGTCCAGAGAGCGGGATCAGGAAAACCTCGGGCTCGAGGCAGAGGCCCTCGGCTCCTGGGAGAACCACGCTGGGGCCAGGCTAGTGACCGGGCCGCCGTATGTGGCGATTGTGGCAAGAGCTTTCGGCAGATGTCGGATCTGGTGAAGCATCAGCGGACACACACCGGGGAGAAACCCTACAAGTGTGAGGTCTGCGGCAAGGGCTTCGGGGATAGCTCTGCCCGCATCAAACACCAGCGGACGCATAGTGGTGAGAAACCCTACAAAGCCAGACCGCCGGCCCAGGGCCCTCCCAAGATTCCTAGGACCAGGGTCCCGGCTGGCGAGCGCCCCACTATCTGCGGAGAATGTGGCAAGAGCTTCCGGCAGAGCTCAGACCTGGTGAAGCACCAGCGGACACACACGGGGGAGAAGCCCTACAAGTGTGGCATCTGCGGCAAGGGCTTTGGGGACAGTTCTGCCCGGATCAAGCACCAGCGGACACACCGCGGGGAGCAGCCGCCCCGGCCCATGGTGCCCCGGCGGCAGCCATCCCGAGCAGCCACCGCAGCCACACAGAGACCCAAAGCCCAGGACAAGCCATACGTCTGCACCGATTGTGGCAGAAGGTTTGTGCTCAGCTGCAGTCTCCTGAGCCACCAGCGCAGCCACCTGGGGCCCAAGCCCTTTGGCTGCGACGTGTGCGGGAAGGAGTTTGCCCGCGGCTCAGACCTGGTCAAGCACCTCCGGGTGCACACGGGAGAGAAGCCCTACCTCTGCCCTGAGTGCGGCAAGGGCTTCGCCGACAGCTCGGCCAGGGTCAAGCACCTCCGCACCCACACGGGCGAGAGGCCGCACGCCTGCCCCGAGTGTGACTGCTCCTTCAGCCTCAGCTCCACGCTGCTCCGCCACCGCCTCACCCACATGGAGCCGCAGGACTGCAGCTTCCCGGTGGGCACCAGCCCCCCGCTGACACCGCGAAGCCCCTCACACCCGGGTGACGGGCCCTTTGGCCTGCCCGGCTTGGAGCCAGAGCCCCGGGGCCCCCAGGCCGGGGAGCCACCGCCACCGCTCGCGGGTGACAAGCCCCACAAGTGCCCCGAGTGCGGCAAGGGCTTCCGCCGGAGCTCAGACCTGGTGAAACACCACCGGGTGCACACGGGGGAGAAGCCCTATCTCTGCCCTGAGTGCGGCAAGGGCTTTGCTGACAGCTCGGCCAGGGTCAAGCACCTCCGCACCCACCGTGGTGAGCGGGCTCGGCCACCACCACCCACTCTCCTGAGGCCGCACAACCCCCCGGGCCCAGCACCCGTGGCCCCTCGTCCCCGAGGCCGGGCCCGGGCCTCTGGACTCAGCCAGCCCCACGTGTGCAGCTTCTGTGGGAAGGAGTTCCCCCGGAGCTCGGACCTGGTCAAGCACAGGCGCACGCACACCGGGGAGAAGCCGTACAAGTGTGCCGAGTGCGGCAAGGGTTTCGGTGACAGCTCTGCCCGTATCAAGCACCAGCGTGGGCATCTGGCCCTGAGGCCCTTTGGGACCGGGGCTGGTCTGGCAAGGCCCAAGGGAGAGCCACCCATGGGACTGGAATGATGGGGATAGGGAGGGAGGAGGGGCAGAGACCACAGGGATGGTACCTTGCCTACTCGGAGAAGAAGGGTCTGGGAGTTGGTGGGAGGGGAAAAATGGAGAAAGGAGTGAGTAGATGAAGACTGGAGACCATGACCTTGAAGCTCAGGAAGCCATCCTAGCTGGGCCCAGTGTGGTCAGGACCGTGCCAGTGTGGTCATACCCCCAGCTTCTAGAACACTGCCCAGTGCACAGTAGGCACTCAATAAATACTTGTTGAATTAATAAACTGGTCTTAGCCTGAAGTCTTTAACCCTAAATTCCTGTAACCTCTAACCTGGTAAGCATTGGTCAGGACCCCCAACCATGGTTTGGTGAAACCTTTATGGGACTTGTGGTGTGGGGTGACAGAACTAGGCAGGGGCAACCTGATCATCCCTCTAAGGAGAGGACTGCTGTGCGGCAGGCAGTACACAGCCTCAGGCCATTGGATGTGGTCTTAGCCAGGAAGGGCCCTGGTGGACAGAGCCCAGACCTGCCGGCCCTGGAGGACCCCGCCACCCTGGCGCCTGGACACGGCAGAACAGGCCAGAGGCACGCCGGGCCCAGGCCCTGTGGACAGGAGAATGGCTGGGAGGGCAGGACTGGAATGAGAAGCCAGGGGAGTTCCAGAGCCAGACAGACGTCTCCATGTTTCCTTACCAATAAACTGCTTGTCTGTGGCTTGGACTCGTGTGTGTGTGTGTGTGTGTGTGTGTGTGTGTGTGTGTGTGTGTGTGGTGTGAGGGGTGAAAAAGGTGTCCACGGGTCACAACAGGGGGAATCCCCAAGCTGTGTGTAAACGTGTGGGTCCCTTGCCCTCTGCTCTGGTGAAAGAAGTGGGCCCAGCCAAAGCCGGTCTGGCTCAGTGGATAGAGCATCGGCCTGCGAATTGAGGATCCCAGGTTCGATTCCGGTCAAGGGCATGTACCTTGGTTGCGGGCACATCCCCATTGGGGAGTATGCAAGAGGTAGCTGATTGATGTTTCTCATCGATGTTTCTAACAATCCTCTCTTCCTCTGTAAAAAATCAATAAAATATATATATATATATATATATATATATATATATATATATATATATATATATATATTTTTTTTTTTTTTTTTAAAGAAGTGGGCCCAGCTGTTCTCCAGCTCTAACATCTGGTTAAATAGCCACCAATTCTGTCCACAGGTCCCAGGCCTTGATGCCCACAAGGTGCCATCCATGCAGCATGGCCCTTAAAAGGGAACTCTGGATCCCACAGGCTGAGGGTGCTCAGTGGCAGGAGTGGGGCAGAGTGTGGTGGGCTGCTCTGGTACAGACAGGAGGCCCAGCACCGATGCTCCGCCTGCTGAGAACCCCTCTTCTCTGAGCCCTTTTTCATTTGGCTGCACATCGCTGAGAGAAGGCAAAGAGAGGCCTCTTTATCGCCCAGAAAAAGCAAACCTACTTCCCAGTGACCCGTTGTCTCTGAGCAGGACTCCAATGCTAGCTCCTTCTAAGGAGGCGGCATTAGGGAGGAAGGTGTGAAGGAACTGATGTGATTGGCCAGGGACAGAAACGGCTGGGGTGGCCCTGGCAGAGGAGCTCCCTTGCTTAGAGTGTCCCCCACATTCTAAAGTTGCAGGTTCCGTCTCCAATCAAGGCACAAGAAGTAACCAGTGAATGCATGGATGATTGATCGGTGTTTCTCTTCCTCTTCCTCCCCCTCCCTCTCTCCCTCTACCTCAATTTCTCTCAAAATCAATTTAAAAAGGAGAAAACGAGAGAGAGAGACTAGGGAAGTTCACCCACCTAAGAAATGAAGTACACAATGGCTTTGCCTCTTCACTGGTTGGTTGTCTGCTAATCTGCATAAGTGAATGGTAGCCAGATGGAAGCTCTCAGATGGAAACCCTCGGACAGGCCTGAAACCCATAAAAGATGGTTACAGTGTGGTTCCCCCACCCCACCGCCCCCGCCAAGTTGTTACGCACACTCACAACCTTAGAGCTGTGCATTCAGGCCTGGGATCCTTGGAGGCTTTGGCACACAAACCCATAGGCCTACCTGGAGGCCCTTGGGGGCTTTGGAAGGTGCTCCTTGCTGGTTTTCCTCTCTCCCTCCTTGGCAGATCGGCCCTGAAACCCACCTGCAGTGATTTGTGAAATTACATCTGAGAACGAAAAAGCGGCCACAAACTAAACCTGACAAGCTCAGGGGAGGCCTGCACGGTGGCCTTACAAACTCAGAGGCCTGAAGTAACCACAGAGGAGGGTCTGAAATTAACACTTCCTGATTAGCCGGCCGCTGTGGCTCAGTGGTTGAGCATCGACCTATGAACCAGGAGCTCACTGTTCAGTTCTTAATCAGGCACATGCCTGGTGTGGGCTCCAGCCCCAGTGGGGAGGCATACAGGAGGCAACTGATTGATGAGTCGCATAATTGTTTCTCCCTCTCCCTTTCTCTCTGAAAGCAATAAAAATATATTTAAAAAATATATATACACAACTTTCTGACTAAAAGCAGTTCATGGTATCGATAGTTACTTTTCCCTAACAAGGGTCTATCTGTACCTTAGCTGAGCCTGTCATTTTTTTTGCATCTGCAAATGTATACCTAATAACATGACTTTGAGCTGAGACCAGTTTGGCTCAGTGGTAGAGCGTCGGTCTGTGGACTGAAAGGTCCCGGGTTCGATCCCGGTCAAGGGCATGTACCTTGGTTGCAGGCACGTCCCCGGTAGGGGGTGTGCGGGAGGCAGCTGGTTGATGTTTCTCTGTCATTGACGTTTCTCCCTTCCTCTCTGTAAAAAATCAATAAAATATATTAAAAAAAAAAAAAAAAAAAAAAAAGCACAACTACCAGGTCAGATCAGAGACTACAAATCCCCTCATTGTTATTATGATCATGTTAATTGTTAGCTATCCTATATTCACCTATGTAAAAAAAAAAAAGTATGTGTCTATTTCTTTTTAAAAAAATATATATTTTATTGATTCTTCACAGAGAGGAAGAGAGAGGGATAGAGAGTTATAAACATCGATGAGAGAAACATCTATCAGCTGCCTCTTGCACACCCCCTACTGGGGATGTGTCTGCAAGCAAGGCACATGCCCTTGACCGGAATCGAACCTGGGACCTTTCAGTCTGCAAGCCGATGCTCTATCCATTGAGCCAAACCGGTTTCGGCCTGTTTCTATTTCTTTTACTTTTTGTTCAATCCCAGAGATTCTCTCCCCACTACCACTGCCCCCCTTTGCTTTGTCCTGCCTCCCTAATCTACCACCAATGAATTTCATGTAACTCATTATGCCTCCTCCTTTGATGGTAGTGTATAACTAAGGTGCAAAACTGTCATTCTCTGGAGCATTTTCTCAGTCTGTTGGGATTTTGCTTTCTAGCAATTGTCATCAATTTAGCTCAAATAAACTAAAAAAAAAAAAGTCTATAGGTTTGAACATTTCTTATTTTGGCATTTACTTGGTGTCATGCAACAAGATTCCAAAGAGGGCCAAAACCGGTTTGGTTCAGTGGATAGAGCATCAGACTGCAGACTGAAGGGTCCCAGGTTCGATTCCAGTCAAGGGCATGTACCTTGGTTGCAGGTACATACCTACAAGGCAGCTGATCAATGTTTCTCTCTCATCGATGTTTCTAACTCTCTAACCCTCTCCCTTCCTCTCTGTAAAAAAATCAATAAAATATATATATTTAAAAAAAGAAAAAAGATTCCAATGAGGCCCACCAGAACCACCTGCAGGAGCCAAGGTGCCCCACTGGCCCGTTCTTTGTTTTGCATATTGTTTGCATTGGGTGAACTTGGGTGAGTTTCCATTGGAATTCTGGACCTCCTGGTTTTAAGATAAGAGGCCCTGACTTTATTTGAGCTGGTTTTAAAATTAATTATTTTATGTTAGTCCTTACCCAGTGATCTTTTTCCATTGATTTTTAGAGAGAGTGAAAGGGAAGGGGGTGAGAGAGAAACATTGATTGATTGCCTCCCACACACCCCTGATTGGGGTTGGGAATCAAACCTGCAACCCAGATATCTGCCCTTGACCAGGAATCGAACCCTTGATCCTTTGATGCGTGGGCTGACACTCTAACCACTGAGCAAACTAGCCATGGCATTGAGCTGTTTGTTTGTTTGTTTGTGTTTTTAATATATTTTTATTGATTTCAGAGAGGAAAGGAGAGGGAAAGATAGAAACATCAATGGTGAGAATCACTGATTGACCTCCTGTACGCTTCCCTTTAGGGATGGAGCCTATAATTGGCAACTGGGCATGTGCCCTGACAGGGAATCTAACTATGACTTTCCAGTTCATAGACTGATGCTCAACCACTGACCCACGCTAGCTGGGTGTGAGCTGCTTTTTAAAAATCCTCCAGATAGGAATGATATGTAGGGGGGGGGAGGGCAATGGTAAGATATGTACACAGATAATAATTTAATTAAACATAAAAAATAAAAATAAAAATCCTCCAGATAGAGCCCTGGTTGGCATGGCTCAGTTGGTTGGAACATTGTCCTGTACACCAAGAGATTGCAAGTTCGATCTCTGGTCAGAGCAGAGATCTCTCTCTCTCTTTCTCTCTCTCTCTCACTCAAAAATCAACAAGCATATCCTTAGGTGAGTATTAAAAAATAAATCCTGCCCTAGCCAGTTTGGCTCAATAGATAGACATCAGCCTGTGGACTGAAGGGTCCCAGGATCGATTCCCAGTCAAGGGCACATGCCTGGATGCAGGCTCCATCCCCTGTAGTAGGGGGCATGCAAAAGGCAGCCGATCAATGAGTCTCATCATTGATGTTTCTATCTCTCCCTCTCTCTTTTTCTCTGAAATCAATTTAAAAAAAATCTTCTAAAAAATCCTTCAGATAGAACCCAGGCTAAGGCAGGACAGGAGGAAAAAAATGAGTGGCTAATTTTTAACTTTGGTTTTTCAATTGGAATTGCTTTCTGAGTGTCTGACTGAAGAACTTTTTGCTGGATAAATGAGAATCTGAATTCGC